TAGTTAACAAGTAAAGATAAGAACTAAATAAAAAAAATATGACACGGGCGAGACTAGTATTCCACGACTCTTGATTGTTGATTGTAATCTGTACTCTTTTAATTTTATCATACAACTTTTCGCTAATTCCTCGTTCATTACTATACATTTTCCATCGTTAAGTAATTCATATTATATTTTAGGCTACGCAAATAACTCATGCGCATAATATTTGCATAATAATATTTTCATCGGCTATTAAATAATATCAAGGATATTCGATATGATAAGTACGTACTTACATTTTATGCATTTCCGTTTAACCTTTAAGGGGCGTCTATTCCCAACAATGATTTTATTACTACGACAAATATTAATGTATTAATTATAAGTTATAAGTAAAATAATGTCTGTAGTTTACGCAAGTAGTACACATTTAAATAAAACACTTTAACGGTTTAACGCGATATATGTTAGTTAAGCTTATTCGAGTATTATTTTCAACTACGGCCCGAAGTTTCAGATCTGCAGCACCCGTGGTCACGGGAGGAACGTCGGACCGAAGTTAAAAATAATTTTAACTAATATATATCGCGTTTTAAACTGTTAAAGTGTTTTATTTAAAAGTTATAAGTCATATGCATGAGACTTTTCTTTATGTTTATTAGAACTAGTTTAGTAAGATATAATAAATCAGAGTCTCGCTCGTTTAATTTAATAAGGAACTTGGCATAATGCAAAAAAATCGGTGACAAGACTAAATGTAACAATAGATAACAACTACGTCAAAACAGAAAAAACTGTATCGAAATACGTAAGCGGAAAATGTACCTTACACAATATCTATAATTTTTTTTCTTTAATATAATGTATCTATTAGACATTTAAGAATGATTTTCATAAAATAAATTAACTATTAAGAATCGCACAGGCGAGAATAGACCCCGCAACAGAAACATGATCTTATTATTATTTATAACATTTTGTAGGTTCGAACAATCCGAATATCCAAAGCCAAAATAGGTCGATAGCGGTGCATCCTTGGTTACAAGATTGGTAGGATGTTATATGGCTGGGGTATATGACCTCCCATCAGGTAAACCCCACTCTTGACTCTCCTACTCTATGCATATCTGTCTCACATATTATAAGCTACTGTTTCTACTAACAAAATTTTTGATTAAGTGGAATCTTTTCCACTGGTAATTTAATATTTAAAAATATTCCATAACAGGTAAAATCCTCACTCGCTTCCTAATTACGATAAAAATGTCACATTCATAAAATACCTCGCTGTTTATTCTGCGCTGGCGCTTTCTGCATTACACAAGCGTTGCGACACATTACGAGTCGTCAAGTCCATTAAATTCCTATTATTTTGGTCACACAACTTATACAAGGCTAAAATGTCGCGTGTTCTAAATAGGCGTTTGTCTATTGTTACCGAATCTTATCTTTTTCATGGTTAGAAGACAAGGTTTTCATTACGACGTTAATGAAACGTAAGATCACGATATAATGGACTTTTTCGAGATGAAAATAGATAATGCCCTGAACTACTGGCGTATAGAATTTGAAGTTAAGTTTTAAATAACTATATATTGTGTTTGAAATCTTTAATATTATTCACATATTATTTCACACGATGGCACAATATGATTTAAAATCGATAATAAATTGAGAGCAACAGCACGGAACGCTGACGATGCCGGTTGAAGTCCTGCCCGAGTCGAAAATTTTTAAAATGTATTTTCCATTTTTAAAATAATAATATATTAGTTCTTGTAGGTTTCCATAAAAGGGGTTTTATTCAATGGTCAATGCAGATACGGAAGTACAATTGGTTAAAGCAGCAGCACAGGACGTTCTGGAAGCCGGTTCACACACGCCTCTGTATCGTAGTTAATATATGTAATGCCATCAAATTTCAAATATATACAACAAATTCCTGGTTTCTTTACCATCTTTGTCACTCGTTTTGAGTAAGATGGCGACGCTAAATACTACCTACTATTTGGGGTGAGAAAGGGTCCTAACCGCTACGGTCACGAAATTTGGAAGGAATATTTCGACCGTAGAGGTAGAGCTACTTTATCTACATTGGTGTTGTATTTACAAATAAATTCCTAACTTCAAAGTTTTCGTACCAATCGATATTCAACAATAATCTGTTACAAATGATTACATCTGGTTATTACAGACAATTTTAACGCGCCGCTGCCCTCACCTTGGCGGGATCAATTAGCTAATAGTTAAATTAGATGAATAATGTATTAAAAAGATAATATCGCGTAATGATGACTATATAGGTCGTTCACCCACTAGCCGCGAACGTCGAAGGTCGCTTTTTACATGCCAGCATAACTCGGTCACGAGCATCAAGGAACTTCATACGAGTGACCATAGTGATTTAAATTGTTTAACTGCTAATACGATATTGACCTTTACTACATACTATTATATACTAAAATTCTGTGAATATTATGCGCGTGCGTCTCGAGATTGTAATAATGAGCACCTGTAAGTACATTGTCTTAACCGAACTATACCTTGGCCGTAATTAATCATGTTCTTTTGTTTGATTTGTACACGATAAATCCGAATCATGTAAATTTGATGATTACTCAATGAATGATGAAATTGGTAATAACATGGATTAACGGGCTCCTTGGTTCAAAGATCGCAATGGGGTCCAATTCCCAGCGGGTCAGGCATCTTTGTTATTGGATTTTAATAACAATGTTAATCCAGTTGAAGTAGATATTAAATACGTGGTAACAATATTGAAATTCCGTTCACAAATGCATAGTTGTAATCTGTAAAATTTTCAGTTTCCGGACTGGCAAAACTATCTATTCGATTTAAATAAAACACTTTAAGGGTTTAAAACGCTATATGCTTTGCAGCAGCCGTGGTCACGGGGAAACTGAACGAAACGTCGGGCCGAAGTTAAAAATCATTTTCAAATAGATATAACTAATATATCGCGTTTTAAACCGTTAAAGTGTTTTATTTAAATGTGTACTACTCTCGTAGTAAAAACTATAGACAGTATCTATCTATTCGATGTCAAACTATCGATTTTCACCTACCATCAAGTAAATTCCAAACTCGTCTATCCTCATCTGTCACGAAAAATATACTAATCCAAGTTTTGTAAATTTGAAGATTACCCAATCGATGATGCAATGGTTAATGACGAAGAATTAAAGATCAAGATGTTTATATCCGCACGTGAAGATGACTTGCATAACTAGATTACTCTTTAAAAGAACTAACTATTATGATGGAAGCAGGTGTTATATACATCCGGATTATATCAATGCTATCCAACCATTTCTCTGATCAACAATTAAATAAGACTACAGAGTTAAATATAATTGTGACGAGACCTTATCAAAATATTGATTAATTACATGGCAATTTTATATGTATGGTGAAAATACCTTAGCACTGTATCAATGACGTTAGTAGACCTATTTTAAAATCAGTCATTGGTTATTTCGGATGTTGGTCCATCAAGATTAGGGGGTAAAGGACGAAGACTACACAGGACCAGGTTACATTATTTTAGCTAACTTTATTCAAAGTTATCATCAACAATCTACTTAAAGTACTGCTAATTTTGTGTTACAACAAACTAACTGACCTCAAAGCAAGCTAAATATAACGTTAACTTATAATATGATTATTTAACTGTAGGTACATATAGATGACATAATGTTATGTTGACATCTGGAATATTTTCTGAAGTCAGTTAAGTAATCTACACATAACTAGAAGTTGAAACGACTAAAGATATTTAAATATCTATCTATGTGTTTGTCATCAATTCCTGTCGAAATAAATCCATGAAAACTTGCTTAGTTTTGTATTACAATTTAGCATTTTTCAATACAAATTTTCATAAGGTTTCAAGTGTAATATGACAATGATAATATCAGAAAGAATTGACTAATGAGTTCACTACGTATTGATAAGGAAGTGATGCCGGATTTAACTAATTTATTTGCTTGTATTAAGAAATTAGTTCTAAATAACCAGTTTGACCACTAAGTCGCGAGTCTTGTATTTTATTGTCTGGCCTATTTCCTATCTTGTCCAAGCGATAATTTTAATAAGGATGTAAATAAATGATGTTGATTGTTCGAATATATTATATTAACTGTTTTTGTAACTGGCAGCGTATAAAAACATATAAAAATGTAACAGAATAACAATCCATCAACAGGTCATTATCTATGGTTCGGTCACAGATAGTAATCTGTTTTATGATATGTTTAAATAAATATATTACGGGTTCATCACAAAGCTTTTGCAGATTGTTTATGCGATAAGCTAAAATTGATTAAATAACGTATTAATATCAAACAAATTAATTTTCAATTGATAAAGTTAACACGAATGTCTGTAGATCCGCGTAACAGTAAAAGTTAAAACAAATTCGGATCTAAATTATTAAGTACACCTTCAAATGTACGCAAAATGTTGTTATATAAATATTCTCGTATAAAAACGCATGTCATATTGCACTTCAACGTTAATTGAATGATACCTTTTTTTAAATTTATGTTTATTTGTAAAAGTCGTTTAATATGCAACATGACTAGAAGAATATGTTTACGGTTGGAAAAATATTTACTTTTAAGAAATGTTGCAAAATACCGTACAAAATAGTTATTTGGATATATAATAATTTTTTAATATATTTAAATAATAATCATTAAATATTTTAGCTAAGTAGGCAGGCATTTACTGAAATCAAGCACGAAATCTTAATAATAATTTTAATGGAAGCCGCTACAATATTTTTTTTCGTCTTGTTTATCTCTCATTCAATTTTATTAAATCCAAAAACTAGTTATCGCGCAATTTAACGATGTACATTACTTAAAAATATTATTGATTTTTCCTTTTTTTATCTATACTAATTTAATGGTATTAAATATACCAGACTCAACAAGACTAATTATATACACACCAGCATAGCACTGAAAACTTAAATATGAAAAGTTACTTACGATTTTCACGCAGCTATTCATATCGATAAGGGCCGTTACACACTGTCACAAAACCGGAAAGCGAACGCGTTGTTCGCCTCAGCCGCGCAGACTAAGCCTGTTTCGCCTGCAAGCAAACGGTTGGTGGTGGTAACTGGTAACATATAAAGCACGTGAAAAGGGGGAAACTGTTTCGCAAGTGACCTTGGCTTTAGTCATTTGTTTTTTACGTACTGTGATGTTGGCGGGTGTTGGCCGCGTGAGATTTCCTCAGGTAGTAAGCGCTTCTGTCGCGACTTCTAGTTATATAGAGCAGACGGCGACCTCCAGGTTGTACGCTCAACATATCCACCTTATCTTTGAGGATTAACGCGCCTTTTCAACGCGTACAGGGTGCTTGGGGTACGTGATACTCACGGAAACATATTTGTAAATAAACCAACACAAAATAAATGTAGATTATTATATTTACATATTTTATTTGAAGTTTATTAGACTAATATTTCTTATTAGGAAAATATTGTTTTTTTTTATTATATTCAACAGTTCGGATTTCTTCTTTTTAAATAACGCGATATTACGTGGTCACGGAGAGGCTCTTCGTCGGGCCGTAGCTAAAAGCATTTATAAATAAGTGTAACTAATATTTCGTGTTTTAACCCGTTAACGTATTTTTTAATGTTACTCGCATAAACCACAGACAGTATTTTTATATCACTACTTTCAAAGAATGATAATTAATATTTTAATTAGCGTAAGGACAATCAGGCACTGTAGACATTTTTAGATCTCTGGTATTATTTTTACCGAACAAATGTAGTTTTAACACTATATGGACCTGTCTTTGCGAATTTTTAATAACCTAAAACATAACGATCCCTTACAAATAACAGTCAATCCCGAAGTTGTAAATAGTTTTATAGTATCGCGTTAGTGGGATTCCAGGAAGACATTGTTCGCGTTTTTTGGCTATATATAAAATCGACCAATGAAATGGATTTTGTATTTTTTCTATAAAACTGTTTTAATTCAGTTACATTTATTTGGAGTAACGTTTAAACGAAAGAAATAATGCCAAGGCTACGTTTTATCCACGGTAAATTCTATTGTGTAGTACAAAGATAAGTAACTTTTAATTGCATAAAATAAAATTCAAAATTCGCCACTTATCGCTATTCAGTGATAATACACATTGTTTTAGGTATCAAATATGAGTCTAGGTTAGTCTTTAATGTACCTAAAAGATTAGTAAACTTGCGATAACTTTTTTTCACAACATTATGAGTAAATTATATTTAAATAAAACACTTTAACGGTTTAAACGCGAAATATATTGGTTAAACTTATTTGAACATTATTTTAAACGACCGATTATTTGGCCCGACGTTTCGTGGTCAAGGAGCGACATTCATTAAAATCATTTTCAAATAAGTTTAAATATATTAGTTATAATATATTTCGCGTTTTAAACCGTTAAAGTATTTTAAACACGTACACATTTAAATAAAATACTTTAACGGTTTAAATGATGCTTTGCAGTAGTGCGTGCCCGCGTTTGTTGCAAAGCATCCGAAACTTCGGGACGTAGATACAATAAGCTGCAAATAAGTTAACTAATATAATTCGCGCTTTAATCCGTTAACAGTGTTTTATTTAAAAGTTTAATTACTTCACCCTTTGTATTCGACTGATTTTTTCATCTATCAAGTTCAGTAACACTTGTCCTAACAAACGATCTTCAAACAAACTGACATAAATAAAACTTAATTTACCTTTCTACAAAAAAATTTTTGAATATTAATTTTAATTATGATTAGTACAATTTAAATTTAATTAAGGGGTTAATGTACAAAAATAAGGATGATAATTACTGCTTTTTTACAGTATCAATGTATTTTTTTACATATACAAATTCTATGTACCTTTCATTTGTTTAGTTGAAACTTAAGATTGCATATAAGACTTACATAGATTAAAAAGGTATTTTTTTATATGAGCGGATTACGAACGAACGGATCAATATCGATTGAGGTACAATCTTTCACAAACATAATCTTTCTGTTACTTACTGCCTTTTTATAAAAAGGAGAAAGAAAGAAAGAAATTTATTGACTATTAAGGCTAACAAAAACTTTTATTAGACTTATTATTAAAACATAAAAAACAAAACATAATTTAATATTAACAGGACAAATATATATTATGTAAAACTCCGATTTCCTTACTTGACACTTATGTGTGTCTGTTTCACTGATCGATTCCTAGAAGGCATATAAGATCGCGATGTGACTAGCCAAAGACAAAGTGGGAAATGTGGATTAAACACGGAAAGTTATTCATCTTTAAGGATTTCCAATGCGAACGAAGTCGTAGACACAGCTAGTGTAAATTAATTCTACTTCACCTTTAAAGTTAATGGAATGGGATGTCCAACAGGAAGCGTTGAACAAACCAGTTTGGAATTGTCTTTAAAGCCCCTTCAACGTTTCTTGTCTGACTTTGAATAATTTCAAGAACGATAACATTTCATAATCGTGTGAAAATTATTCGAGTGATACTGGAAACTGGTTTTAGACTGTACACAATATAAGATTTTCAGCTTCACATCAATGGACAATGGTCAATGACCCGGAGCATTGAAATAATTTAAATTTATAGTTATTTGCTTGTTGAAGCAGAAATAGCGAAAACTAGCTACTAGTACTAAAATGTCAAAAATATATTATTAGTCTCGGTTTTTATATTTCACACGTTAGACTAAAAGAAGACCTAAGTAGGTACTTAAAGAATAAGTTATGTTAGTGTTTATGTAAAATAACTTAAATTTGTATCACCTCTTAATAACTCAAAACTATAAGAGAGATGGGAAGATCTTCCAAAATAATTTGTTTGGTATATATATGACATCTAATAGTTGGCATTCTAATCAAATTCCGGTAAAGAAATATTCTTGTGAAATATTTTTTTCACTTTTCGAATGATAAGTACTAACTAATATACAAGAAATTAAATAAATTAAAAATCGTTAGAATGTACAAGTAAATATTTAGAAACTTTATTATTCTAAATATTAAATATTCTGCTGTTAAATCCTTTTTAGCTTATAAGTACTCGCGTAAACTATAGACAGTATGTCTATAGTTTACGCGAGTAGTACACATTTAAATAAAACACTTTAACGGTTTAAAACGCGATATATTAGTCAAACTTATTTGAAAATGAACTTCGACGGAACAGATGACGCTAGCGTAGAAATTTTTTACTTTGACGTCAGAGACATCCTCCATCTTTAGTCTCCCCTTGACCACGGCTGCTGCAAAGCATCCGAAACGTCGGGCCTTTTTAGCTTATCAAAGTGTCACATACAGTCTTTTTAAACTTGGAGTATTAAAATACTTATTACTTCAATTTGTAATAAACTAAAGCGTTAAGCATATATTTTGTAAAAAACAGGAATTCTGATCACGATTGTCTTGCATTGCAGTTCGGCATCTTTTCATCTATTTAAATTTTTCAGATTTCATTATAGTTCTGAATTGTTAATCGTATGAAAGAATGTGGAGGTAAAATTGTATACACCGCCTATCGTCGTTAACTTAGTAGTGACATCTGTCGGCAATATATAAAATATTTAATTGAGCGATGTAGAACACGCTACGGATTAACCACGATGCGTTGAATTATGGATTTGCGAAATTATTGCTCACATCAATATATTTGTATCTAAAAAGTACGACAAAATACATGAACGACTTCCGCATTACCTGGTCTGTCGAAGGTGAATGGCCGCCGGCCGCAATGGACAATGTCAGTGAGTGGGAGAAACTTTTCGTCACCAAAACCCTTCGTAACCTTATCTCCAAATTGGCGTTTATGTGAATGAAATTTAGCCTTAAAAATCTTGTATTCCCTGGAAGCGTGCGCGACAATTCGAATAATTTATTTTAATACGACGATAACATCCGTAGTAGTTTTTGCCTTCGTAAGGTCTCACTTTCATTATGACTATATAAAATTTCAACGTTTTTATACTTTTGAAGAAAAGATCTTAACGGTTATAAACGCGATAGAAAACTGATTTGAAAATTATTTTTAAATACCATCATTTCAGATTCACAAACTTAAACGCGAATTTACGATGTCTTTTTCGTTGATGTTTTCGTGTCCATTTATAACAAAATTAAAGGAGTTCGTTAAATGATGCCCGAGTTAATTATTCATTTTGTAGTAATTTAACCACTAGAAGAACTGTATGGTTAAAAAAAATGGAATATGTTTGAAAACATTAATATTTTTAATTTATTGAATAAGCACTATATAATTTAAAAATCAAAATAAATAAAAAATTTTTCATGTATAGTTGAAATTAAAGGTTAGGTGTATGGAAGAGGGCTACGATGTTCAAGTCCTGCCGAGTCGAAAATTTTTTCAATTATTTTCGATTTTTAAATTATATAGGTATGAAACATGTAAAAATAATTTTTAAACGTAAATTATATTATATGTGAAGAAATTGAGAAAGAAGGAAAATGGGAGATAGTAATTGGGTAAAGAGAGAGAGATGGTATCCGGCCGGGGCAAAATTTTTTCAATTTATTTTCGTTTTTAAATGGAATTGTCTTCCGAACCTTATGCTTCTCATATATACAAAATATGTTATCTAACAAGGAAGATAAAGATAAGTTTGTAATAGAATGATATTATTCAACTCAATATATCTATATTAAGTTAAATAACTATGCAATAAATAATAACAAAATAATAAAACACTCCAAGGATTTATTAATATACATTTCGTGTAAAATTGCACAATATTTCGATAGTTACGCCAAGGATGCTAGTACGGTTACATAAAATACAGGTAATTTTAAATAAGTATGTAATTACTTACCTCAAATATTAAGTTTCTATGTATTAAATTTAATCCTTCGGGCATATCTTAATATTGCGGTGTCAAGTTTAGGTTTGCTATACTTGTCTATAAATATAACTAGTCACAGGGTAAATAATTATACATAAATATTATCTTAGGTGGGTTTTCG